AGGAGTGGGGAGTGGGAGTGGGGGCGCCAGTGGTAAGAGTGGGGAGTGGGGGTGCGCTGGGAGGAACTGTCGATGGAGGTCTCATAAGGGGTCATGGTAGGACCCTTAATAATAAAAAGAAGACCACACAATGGGGCAAAGTGCATCCTCCTGGCTGCGAATCCTTTCATCCATAGGCTAGCAAGCCTGTGCAACCTTATCATGAAGGTGTCGGACCTGAAGAAGCGTCTAATACCTTATTGGGGGCTAAGTCCCACTAGGGGGGGGTTAGGCTTTGGTTTCCTGGTTTCCTCCCATCCCATATCAGCATCTCACGTTTACACTATTGCCAGGCTGCAAAAAAAATTACAGATAGGAAGACTAAAGGCCAGATCCCACTAGCAAAGATTATTTGGAATATGCCTCTGAATCTGGACGTGTTTGTGCAGATGTGCAAAAAATTGTGATTGGTCTACTTTTCTGCCCCTCAGGTCCCCTCCCCTATGAACATCAGCAGACTCTGCTAAATGCCAATCGGGGGATCCAGTGGTCTATCTCTAGGTGGCGGGCGCCAAGCATACCCAGGAAGGTACACGAGGCTAATGGGGATTGAACCCACGACCTCCTGAATGCCACTTGCAAGCCTTACCAACTATACCAACTAGGTGCGAGGGGCCATGCTAAGGGCAAAAAAAAAAAAAACAGAGAGAGAGAGAGAGTCCTTGTACACTCGTTCATGACGATAGGGAGTCGTGTTCGGGCCAGAAAGGAGTGATGGGTCACTGCAGTTGTGTATTTCGAGCAACGATTGCGTCCAGATTCAGGGTCTGGCCGCAATCCTCACGCAAGTGGGACCTTGCCCCCGAACACCACGCACCCTTATCATCAATCACTCTGTGGGCGTCGCCGCACGGGACACGAAATGAAAAACGAAACGAGTGCATCTTCCTGCAGAAAATGGCCAGGTTCACCGGTTTGATATTGATATTAACGAGTGTATTTTCCCACGTTTCGTGGGCAGATGCACTCGTTTCGTGTGCCGTGCGGCGAGACCGGAAAGTAGCCTGCTGCCTGTGTACATTCCTGAACGTCATGCTATAGAGGTAACAAGATAGATCTATGTCAATGTCAATGCCACCAGCATAGCATAAACCCGATTGTTACTGTTATTGCGGCCAGGTTCATGCTTCCCAAGCAGGAACACTACGTTCATAGCATGGAATGGACATAGCCCCTGCATCTTCTTCCGCCGAACCTAAGGTTCCCTCAGGCTGATCACGAATGTATAGAAGCCCGCTTTTCCGTTCCCATACAGTCAATGACATTCATTATAAGTTGTAACATAGGACAAGCTCCCGCCCAGGGGGCCCTGTCGCTGTATTCGTGCTCGGAAAGCATGCACCTGGACGGAAGAATGGTCAGATTCGTGCTATGCTTTTAGCATTATGGACGTAGATCGTCCCCACAACATGAGGCATGGACGTAGATCGTCCCCACAACATAACATTTCCCTGAAGGCTAAGTTCACCTGATAACAAGGGCTTCCTTTTTGAAAGGGCGGCTCCCTTGTCCAGTTGATGTAGCTCAGTGGTTAGAGCACCGGTTGGAAATGCGCATTGTGGTATGAGATTGCGGGTTCAAATCCTCAGCCTCACGCATGGACACCGGCAGTGCGTTAGAATGACGCACGGCTGGACACACACCCCTTGGGCTGACGCATGGTAAGCTATTACAGACACTGCCTGCGCACCAACCAGGAGACTGTCCATGGTGTTGTATGTTGGGTCCTGGCCTATGAGGGGTTTGCCTGATACAGTTAGCAGTCTAATGAGGATGCAGGTACGGGTTTGCGGTTAGACTGCTCAATGCCATGTGTGTTGGTTACCTCAGGATCTGCTTTGGGGGGGGCAAGGACCTTAGGTGGGATGGGGTCCCGTTTGGGGGGAGGCTTGGCTTGGGACATGCTCTGCTGGAGGATATTGGTGGGGAACCTACAGTAGGGGATTGTCTTAAGGGATCCCGGTAGGAGGGGTGTTAGTAGACAGACTCTGGTGGAGGAAATCGTTTGGGAACCTGCAGTAGGGGCTGTCTGAGGGGGATCCTCCAAGAGGAAATCGTTGGGGAACCTGCAGTAGGGGCTGTCTGAGGGGGATCCTCCAAGATAGAATGGTCTGTGTCCCATACAGTAGGGGATTGTCTTAAGGGAGCCCGGTGGGAGGGGTGTTAGTAGACAGACTCTGGTGGAGGAAATCGTTGGGGAACCTGCAGTAGGGGCTGTCTGAGGGGGATCCTCCAAGATAGGATGGTCT